GGATACATGTGTATATCTTGGTAACCGCTGAACCAATTTCTTCCACAATTGGCACAGTTGTTAGTCTTGCTACAGCATACCAAATGGCTGAAAATTTTTAAAATCGGACAATAACCACGCCTACCTCCCATATAACGGTAATTTGGAGAAATACGAAATCTTCGATAAATAAAAGAAGTATTAAAGCTAATTTACTCAAAATTGATGCTTGCAACAATTCTTTACCAAGAAATACGTTTATGATAAAATTTTATTATTTTTTATTTTATGATCACATATATGTATCTCGGTAACCGTTCTACGAATTTGTACCAAACTCGGTATGATTATTGTGCTTGCCACATAGAAGCAAAACGTTGAAAGTTATTGGAATCAGATTCAAATTACGACCACTTTTCATATACCGGCAAATTTCAGAAATGCTTGAAACTTCAATATTTCGAAATTTAAGGACGCTAAGTTACTCAAAATTGATATACACCGGCTTACCGTGTAGCGGTAGCTAGGTGAAAATCATATACTTAGTACCTGCGCCGGGTAATTAATGTTCGGCTCCGCCCGAACTTAGACTTTCTTACTTGTTTTTTATTTATTATACATTTATTATACATTCATAATAATTACATTTATTGTACGACAAGGAATTTTTTGATGGGACTTAATAAGAATAGTGACTTGCTAGTATCGGAACTATTTCTTGCACGTTTATTTGCGAAAATTTCTTCAACGTCTCGGTGCCAGTAAGTCATTCACAATCGTATGCTACGAACGCCGTTATTGCTTAATTCTGAATCATTCATGAGATTAATATTTTGCCAACAATGCTCGTATAAAAGCTTAAACAGACGGCATCGTTGATCCGGATTAGCTCGGAGTTAGTCCGGATCAACTGCAGTTAATTCCCGAGTTGACCCGTATCAACGCTGCCGTCTGTTTATGGTTAAAGATAGTCCCAAATTTTCACAAAAGAGAAAAGCGATTTTCTTCAAAACTTTTGTATGACGTTTTGACTGAACTTACTAATTCGGAATTTCTGCCATTACTTATATAATGAAATAGAAATTTTTTATTATAAGTTCCATAAATATTAGGAGACTTTTAGTGTTTAATTAATTTTTTGCACATAAACTTGTATCTTGAACTTCCGTTTCCAAAAAGTGAGGATATCAAAATTTTAATGAATATCGGATGTATGTTAATTTTCCAAAGAGATCTCTTAATAGATAAATTCATGAAAATTATTCCAAACGAAAACTTATGTTAGAGGTTTGAAGTTTATCCCACTGTAAGTATGGAATCTTCAGCTATGTGTTCCCATGATAAATAAAATTATAATTTAAAAAACTAAAACCTCCCTATTATAATTGCCATTCGTACCAGGGTGTCCAGATTGTTAAAAAAAGCGCAATTTCTGAAAAAAAATTGCCAAAATTCGCCTATTTTTTTAAATAAAATTCATGAAATCGATTTAACAAATCTCTTATTTTAAAAATGAGGTCTTGGTATAATATAGTTTCTAAAACCAAAAACGAATATAATACCTTCAGAGGGTAATAATAAATAACGCAAATCGCTTATATAATAGTGATTTACAAACAATTTACTTAAAAAATACGCATACTTTTTAAAAATATTTGATTCAACACATTTTGGAATAGCAATTATTAAACTTATATTAATTGATTAATCGGACAATCCGCTTTTAAGAGCTGCCGCTAAAAATAAAATAAAAACCTATAATAGATAAGGCGAGATCAGCTATTTCCACATTTTTTTCACAATCACTTATAGTATATGAATCATTTACATTTCTGTTGTTGTCATTGTTAGCCTTCA